TTGAAACAAGGAAGTCGGCTTTTCCCCGAGCCCAGCCCTCATCCTCTGTGAACCAGGATAACCGTGCCTAGCAGACCCTGAACAATTATCATAACCCTGTAAGAAAGGGATTGGCAGGAGTGGGAAACTACCAGGGGAGGGAGCACGGCGGCACCCTTCATCGGTAAGGGTAACTGGTCTTATGTCAGGCGATGTGGGGACCAGGGTGAGGCCCAAACTTTGCCCAAACACTGCTTTTGAAATGACCAGCCGACCAGGAAAAGAAAGAAAGGGGGCAAAAGGGGGCACAGTGTCTGGTTAAAACGTCTAACATGCGCCCACGCTCCTGAAGCGGACGGTGTGTTCTGTGTGTGAGTTTACGCTTTGCTTCTTCCTCCTAAGCTGAGACCGAAAGGGTTCACTGCCAGCGCGGAGCCTAGAAGGCCTCACCCCTATCGCAGCTGCCCCCTGTCCTCCAAAGCTGGTGTCACTTGCCCTGCCAGCGGGACGTTGTTTACAAAGATGCTCTGCGCAGAGCCGGGACCGGTTGGCTTTGGCGCCTCCTGGTGGCCCATCTTGGGAATTGCATGTGCACCTGGCTGCAAATGTGGCTGCCTGTGCGCGCGGGTCTGTCAGGTTCTTCCCAAGGCCAAGGTTACTACTGTGCTGGTGCATAAGTTCGTAGCGTTTTCCACTTGTTCACGGGATGCAAATGACACGCGTCGGTTGACCGGTCACGGTGCATCGCATTTGTCAATGTTCAACTCGGCTGACGTGGATCATCATTGATTAAAGCTTTTTTTTTTTGAGTTGGAGGCTCACTCCGTCGCCCAGACTGGAGTGCAGTGGCCGCTCCCGGCCACCGCAACCTCGACCTGCCGGGCTCCGGCGATCCTTCCGCCTCAACCTTCCGAGTAGCCAGAATTATAGGCATGCGCTACCACGCCCCGCTAGTTTTTGATTTATTGTAGAGATGAGGTCTCGCCAAGTTGCCCAGGCGGGTCTTGAACCCCAGGCTCAGGCAATCCACTCACCTCAGCCTCCCAAAGCGCAGGATTACAGGTTGAGCCACCGAGCCCAGCGATTAAAGCATTTTTAAAGTCTTCATCAAAGCCCCAGGGGTCTCCTGAACGTGGAGAATCGCTCAAGTCAAAGTGACCCTCTTTGAAACGACAGAACCATGTTCTTGCCGTGACGTCCCCGATGGCATTCTCCCCAGACACACCACACATGTTTCGAGCCGCCTCCCCTGCCTTGACTCCTCTGTTATACTCAAACAGAAGAATATGCCGAGTGTTCATTTTTCTTCCTCTTGATCCTCCATCTTCTTTAGCCGACAAATAGCACCAACTTTGTTCAAATCTGCAAAATGCAAGGCGTATTCACAAGCACAAGGTTGTCGCTCCAAATGACAAACTCCCAACGCCGCAGTGTGGCAGGCCAAAGACAAACACTGCACACTTATGCATCGACCTAATATTTCTACATTGTAAAGTGAATTCGTATTTAAATATTGAGGTAAGGGTAGGGATAGCATTTTTTATCCTGGAAATGGGTGTCGGATGGCAAAATTCTGTTTGCAACTTGATCTTTGTTTTCACAAGTTTTTCAAGACAGATACTGTCCTTGCAGTTTGAGTGATTCCTGTGTGACCAATCACCTCGACTCTTCTACTCTTCATTGGATTCTCACAACAAGCCTCAAAAGCTGGCCAGATATGATGATTGCCTCTTACCAGTGAGGTTGAGAAGGGTTAAGGAGTCTTCCCGAAACCATAAAACAAGGATTAAGCCAGAAGTAATATTGCAGTGTTGTCTCTAGCCAACAAGACTGTCTTTGCTGTTGTTTGTTTAGCAGGTCTGTCCTTCATCTCAGGGGTGGGCCCAGGGCTGTCTGAGGGTCAGGGATGGCTAGTGTCACATCATGTTCTGCTCCACGGAGAAAGCTCGCCAACGTCAAAACATGAAGCTTTCCTAGAAAATACGGGAATGTCTTGAATTCTAGTGTCACGTCCTTCTTAAGGCCACCCGTGCTATAACTCTGCCATTCATTCCAAAGTCCCACAGAAGAGGGAAGGGAAGAACTCTATTTCCAATGAATAGCAGAGTGACCTCTGTGTGTACGTGTGTGTGTGTGTCTGTGCACGCGTGTTTCCATATGGGCTCACCCAGTGAACCCAGTGAAGCCCGAAACACACGCAGGGCAGAGCAGTGGTCACCCCAGAAGCATCCCATCTGGTTTTCTGGCTTGGTCCTTCCATGCTACGATTCCTTCTCCATTCCGTTTTGGGTAACAAAGCGGCACGTCCCCAGCCCCTCCCAGGAGTCATGCTTTGACAACGGTTTTTCTCCCTTCAACAGGTTGTCCTTGTGTTCCAACTGTGTGCCAGGGTTGTGTGTTTCATTGTGGAAAAATACTCATAGCATACAATGTGCCACTGTGACCGTTTTTAAGTATGCAGTTCACTAACATTAAGCATATTCCGACAACTGTACAACGATCTCCAGAAGCTTTTCATCTTGAAACGGGAACTCTGCCCCACCAAGGGATAACTTCCCATCGCCCTCTCCCAGTCCCGGTCGCCTCTGCTCCACATCCCACCTCTGGAATGTCACTGCCTTTGGCGTCTCAGATGAGTAGATTCACACAGTGTTTGTTTTCCTGGGATGGGCTGATTGCATTTGGCATAATGCCCTCCAGGCTCAGCCGTGAAGCGCGTGACGGAATGGCCTTCGTTTTTAAGGCCAAATAATATTCTACGTGTGGACAGATGACAGTTCCTCAACATCTCACTAATCCCCTCCTGCCTGCCAACCCCCAACTCCTTGTGACTGCCCATGTCCTCTCTTCTCCCTTGAGTTCAGCTTTTTTAGATTCCACATATAAATGAGATCAGGTGGTATTTGCTTCTCTGTGCCTGGATTGTGTCACCTAGCACAATGTCCTCAAGGCTCACCCATGTTGTCACAAATGACTGGAGTTTCTTTTTTTCTCAGAGTGAATTGTATTCCTTTGTGGATATATGACACAATTTCTTTTTTTTTTTTTTTTTTGAGTTGGAGTCTCACTCCGTCGCCCAGACTAGAGGGCAGTGGCCGCTCCCGGCCACCGCAGCCTCAACCCGCTGGGCTCTGGCTATCCTTCCGCCTCAGCCTTCCGAGTAGCCGGAATTACAGGCATGTGCTACCACGCCCAGCTGATTTTTTGATTTATTGTAGAGATGAGGTCTCGCTGCCCAGGCGGGTCTCGAACCCGCGGGCTCAGGCAATTCACTCACTTCAGCCTTCCAAAGGCGCGGGATTACAGGCTGAGCCACCGAGCCCGGCTGACACAATTTCTTTATATATCAATCAACTAGTGGATACGATACTTAGACTCTACATCTTGGCTATTGTAAACAATGTTGCAAGGTACGTGGGGACATATGCGGTCCTATAATTAAGTTCCCGAACTCGTCCTAGAGAAAGTGCTCTATCCCCATTGCTGAATATCACCTATGGTCACCTTCGAAGTCCTCCCCTTGGAAAACTATGCACTGATGCCAGTGCTTAGTCCACCTGTCAAAGCAGATTTGGAACTCTTTCTGGAACAGCCATCAAAGCCATCATCGTATTACCCGTGATGTCTTCCTTTCAATATTTCCTAAAGAAAAAAAGTCATTGGGGGCCAAATTAGGTCAGTAGGGAGGGTGTTCCAATATAGTTAGTACAGTGCTGCCAACGTCAGCGCCTGGTGGCTAGTTTGTGAACTTGATTATCGGCCTTCAACAAAGAACGACGATAGCTCTGATGGCCATTCCAGAAAAAGAGTTCCAAAATTGCCTTGACAGGGGGACTAGGTGCTGGCTTGGGTGCATGGCTTCCCCAGGGGAGGCTTTCAAAGGTGACTGTGGTGATATTCAGCAGTGAGGATATAGCACTTTCTCTAGGATGGTTTGTGAACCTAACTTTGGGACCTTGTATATGTCTCGGTGTCTGATCCCTTCCCCTTTGGTTGTCACCCACCACCATGTCTTCTTCATCCATGGGTGGACACTTGGACTCTTGTATCTTGGCTATCGTGAATCGTCCTGCAATGAGCATGGGTGTGCAGGTGTCTGGGCCGTGCTGATCCGCTTCTCTTTGGCTGTCACCCACCGCCAAATCTTCTTTCCCCATTCACCCACTGCTGGATCCCAACATATGTTGCTTTAGCGAGGGCTGGCGCAGTCTACCAGATCACCCCTTGTGCAGAGAGGCATGTGCCCTTTCTACCTCCCAGCGTTAAACAGGGAAGTCACCGAAAGGTTGGCATACAGAGTGTTTTTTGCCAGGCAAGTGGATTGGTGAAAGGACAGAAATCTTTTAAAAGGTTACGTGGCCTTCAAGGCCCTGAATCCCCTCCCTACCAGATAGACCCAGAACCCGCTATCAAGCGACAGAAAGCTCCTGGAGGTCTCTGATTTCTAGGTTTACGCACATTGCTCTTCTTGGTTCTCCCCTCCTGGCTGCATGTCGGTGATGATCCACGTGACTCCTGAATTGAACCGTGTGACTAGCAAGGCTTTGAGGAAGGGACTTGGCCAGAGGGCTGCTTTGGGTCCTTGATCACTGCGGGACCTTGTGCAAAGACTCGGGACACGACCGGCAGCCGAGAAGGTGCTGGGCGTGGCTCGGGTGTTCACCTTGAGCCACTGCTGGAAACTCAGACACACACCGGTTTTCTCGGGTCCAACATCTGCCCCCGAGCTCTCATGTCACAGATGGGAAAACGGAAACTAGCAGTTGTTTTTGCTTCAAGCCAGAGGAAAAGCACAATCAGGAGCTCAGCAGTGTTTGCTCACACTCAAAAATGTCGGCACCGTGTAGTTATTTACATCCAGGCATCTGCTTGTCAAAAGTGCAGCTTTCGGCATGGTCTTTGCCAAAGTCACCCACTGCGCCGGCCGTGGACTCCTCGCTGAGCGACTGTGAGACACGCAGATGGGTGTTGGTGCCTCAGCCTCATGCCATCTGTTCTGTGTCTGCCCACTGGTTCCACAGATCCTGCTGGGCCAGAAGTACAACCACTCCGTGGATTGGTGGTCCTTTGGGGTCCTCGTCTATGAGATGCTGACCGGCCAGTCACCCTTCCACGGGCAGGACGAGGAGGAGCTCTTCCACTCCATCCGCATGGACAACCCCTTCTACCCACGGTGGCTGGAGAAGGAGGCCAAGGACCTGCTGGTGAAGGTAAGGCATGGCATCGGGATGGTCTTGGCCAGATGCGCACCAGGTTTTCTTTGTGTGTGTGTGTGTGTGTGTGTGTGTGTGTGTGTGTGTGTGTGTCAGAGTCTCACTCTGTCGCTCAGGCTGAAGGGCAGTGGCATGCTCACGGCTCGCCACAGCCTCGCCCTCCTGGGCTTAGGCAACCCTTCTGCCTCAGCCTCTCAAGCAGCTGGGACTACAGGGACACACCACCATGCCTGGCTAATATTTTAAATTTTTTTGTAGAGACAGGGACTCACCATGTTGCCCAACTCATGGTCTCAAGCGATCCTCCTACCTCAGCTTCCCAAAGTGCTGGGATTCCAGGCATGTGCCGCTATGGCCAACCAGGCTTTCTGATCAGTATTCCATTCTTTTCTTTTCTTTTTTTTTCTGAGTTGGAGTCTCACTCTGACACCCAGACCGGAGTGCAGTGGCCACTCCGGGCCACCGCAGCCTCGACCTGCTGGGCTCCGGCGATCCTTTGGCCTCAGCCTTCCAAGTAGCTGGAACTACAGGCGTGCACTACCACACCCGGCTAGTTTTTTTGATTTATTGTAGAGATGAGGTCTCGCCAAGTCGCCCAGGAGGGTCTCGAACCCACGGGCTCAGGCAGTCCACTCACCTCAGCCTCCCAAAGCGCTGGGATTACAGGCTGAGCCACCAGAGCCCAGCTTCTATTCTTTTCTCTTGGTAAACAGGGATTATATTGAACTGGGTTTAAATGGGATACCTACCATCTCTGTTTTAATTGAGGCACCAATAGTATGAGCAGTAGATCTGAAAATGAGTAGAAGATGAGCTCTCATGTGCGTCATTTACAGTAGAAATGTCCAGGAACCAGTTTCACACCCCTGGAATGCCCTCGCTTGGGGATGTGGTTGGTCCATTGAACAAGCACAATTTGTGGTTTAACACTCAATCTTCCAGCTGCTCAGGAGGCTGAGGTAGGAGAATCACTTGAGGCCTGGAGTTCTAGACCAGCCTGAGCAACATAGCAAGACCCTGTCTCAACAAAATACAGAATTTATCCAGGCCTGGTAGTGCACACCTGTAGTCCCAGCCATTTAGGAAACTGAGATGGGAGAATCACTTGACCTTCGGAGGTCGAGGCTGCAGTGGGCTACGATCGCACCCCTGCACTCCAGCCTGGGTGACAGAGTGAGAACCTGACTGTAAAAGTGAAAAGGATCTGTGTCAGTGCTACAGATGGAACCTGGGGTCTGAGGCTCCCAAGACGTGAGCCACGAGCTCCAGGGGCAGACTCCCGTAGAGACGCAGGAACACCTGAGCACCATCGAGAAAGACCTGAACTCAAGACAGAGTCCCATGGGCCTTTTTTGAGGATGCAAAATGCCACCCACAGTGAATGAGTGTAACAAGTAATAAAATGAATCGCAACAGCACAACACGTGTGTCCACATCGTAAGGCCTACATTGACTTAGCTCTCCCAGGCAAGGTTTGGATCAAAGAGACCCACCACAGGTGGTCAGGAAGGCAGCAAGCCAAAACAAGTGGCCCACGAACACAGGCGTTTTGAAAGAAACATCGCTGTGATTTTTAGGGCCTCGTATATCAGCTGGTTATTTAACAATCATCATTTAGAGAAATAATGTTTAGCCTTCCTCTTGCGTAGAAATAAAACGGGAGGAGGATAAGGTTCTTGCACACTGGAAGCTCTTGGTGAGTTTTCGAAAGAAACCTAGAGCGGTGTTCGTAGGTCCATCTTTCCTCAATAGTTTTTTCTCTTGAAAAACTACTCGCAATTCAATGTTAAAGGAATAGGCTTCTGCCTCTCTAATAAAAGTGATGCCTTGTATAGGATGTTAGCAATTCTGGGGTGACCCCAGAGCTCCCCCAATCTGGAATCTGAGAAGTGGTGGCACAGGGGATCCCAGCCCCAGGGTGATGGAAGGAGGTGTTTAAACTCCCAGGCCAGTCCCATCCAGCGTTTGCTCTCGGGTTGTGACCCAAACAACAAATGAACTTAAGAAAACCCCCTCAATGATCAATTAAATTCACTTCTAATGACTGAATAAACATATATCAAATGAAAGCTAATTTCAAAATTAACCCATAAAAAATAGGACGATAGTAAAAATAAGTTAGTGGGATTTGAACGTACACTTGTACTTTACATAAAGGCAAGTTCAAATGTTATTAGAGTTGCTACATGCATTTTACACTTGGCTCTATGAAGGACTGTGTGACGAGTCTTAGTAAGCTTGGGCAGCCATAAAAAGATACCACAGACTGGGCGGGTTAGACAACAGAAATGTATTTCTCACAGCTCTAGAGGCTAGAAGTTCAAGGTCAAGGCCCAGCTAGGTCGGTTTCTGGTGAGGGCTCTCTTCCTGGCTGGCAGACAGCAGCCTTCTTGTTAGACCTTCACTTGGTATGGGTGGGGGTGAGGGCTGTGGTCTCGCTTTCTCATAAAGACTCTAACCCTGTTAGATCGGGACCCCACTCTGTGACCTTACGTAACCTTAGTTAGGCCTTATCTAGAGTCACTTTGGGGTTAGGGCTTCAACATGCCTGTTTTCAGAGGACACAGTTCCGTTCATAGCATGAGACGCCTAGGCTAACGAAACCTGCTGAAAAGAAGAAGTGAGGCAAGGGCTTGATCTGTGCAAAAGTGGGGAGACCCCAGCCTCGGGAACTGCCTTCAGTGACTCCCAGGGTGGGGGTGCTGGAGCCACAGGGGCAGCCCCCCACCCCACCCTGGTGATGCCCCGTCAGCACCAGCCATCTCCTGGGTCTCCCAAACCCAACCCGACCCCAGGATCTGGGGCAGCTTCAGGCAAGGGCTGAGGCCGGGTGGCATGGATCAGAAGCACCTTCACGGAGAGAGGTGGACAGTAATGATTTCTGGGGGGAGAGAAAGACTCGGCAGGGGAAAGGAATCACTTCCAGCTGGAAGAGAAAAGGTGAAAAGTTGTGCACGCGAAGTTCTACCCAGCAAGAAAAGGAACAACTTGGTTGGATCTCAAAGCCGTTATGTTGGATGCAGAAAGTCAGTCTAGAAAAGTTGCATATTCTCTTACACAATGTCATTGAAATGACAACACAGTGGAGATGGAACTCGGGTCCCTGGTTGCCCACGGTTGGGCGCTGGGGACAGGAGGGCAGGTGTGACTGCCAGGGACAGCACAGGGCAGGGCTTTGTGGTGATGGAACAGTTCAGGTCTTGCTTGGCGGGGGCGTGCATGTGTGATGAGATGACGTAACCCGCGCCCCAGCATCAGCTCTTGGCTTTGACCTTGGCCTATCATCATGTGAGATGGAGCTCTTGGGGAAATGGGATGAGGGTCCCAGGACATAGGACATCTGGGCATTCTCTTTCCAATGTCCTGTGAATCTACAATTATTTCAAAGTAAAAAGTTTAAAAACAAAACTAAATCTAAGGCTAAATGCCATGCAAATACCGCCCCCAACACCACCAAAAAAGCAAAAAGTCATCTGCAGAGTTTCAATGGCAGGAGAACAATTTTCTGTAAGAGGAGAAAATAAATTTGGTGGTTGAGGCAAGCGGAAACCAAGATAAGGAAGGATGCAAAAGGTTCGTGGGTGAAAGAGGCATAGCATTCATGTAGAAGAGTCTGGCTTTTTCTTTCCCCTGGGAGTTGGTAAAAAAAGACCACGTCTTTTCTCTTGCACACATTCTTGCAGTCGGGCCGGCAAAATTAGTTTCCGTGATGCAATTTTCTGTCCATAAGACCGGCTTCCAGTTTTATCATTTTCTGCAGTAATCAAAAGGGATGCCATGGTTCAGAAGTGTCCTCTAGGGAATTTGACAAAGACGTTGTGAAACCCAGAAGGCATGAGTCCTCCAAAAAAGCAGAGGAAAGCAGCATTTAGTGGCATCTGTTCCGGCATCAGTACCAGACTCTGTCCCTGTTGGCCGTCCTGGGGCACGGATGCAGGCAGCGCACTGAACAATTGCACATCAGGAGAGGTCGTACTCCATCAAGAACTGTAGCTGGGACAGCCTGGCTTGCCAAGAAACACCCTCTTCCTGCTCCTTGATTCATCCTGGATGTCCTGTCTGTTTGTTTGCAAGTGATGGAAAATGAATGATCTCGAAGAGAAACACCGCTCCCTTTTCTGAAAAGCTGTGTCTGAGGAGGGATGGAGAGGAAAGACAGACCCAGGTCCGACTGTCAGCACTCATGGCTGGCCACCGCCTTGACCTGCTTTCTCGCTCAGCCTGTCCAGTAAGCTTAAATAAACTCCAACTACATCCTGGCCATTTATTTCCTAGAAATGTAAACCACCCCCTGACAGCTTTTAAGGACAAAAGCAAGTCTTTCTTTATGAACTACTTTTCCTCGGTGCAGCCTCCCTGCCTGGATCCCGTGAGGTCGCAGGCTCTCTGTGAGGTCTCTGCTTGCCTGGGCCTCCTGTGAGGTCACTGGTCATCCTCGAGACCTCAGGCAGGTTGATTGGCTGCAGGGCAGAGACTATAGTCACTGACTGTTTTGTGCAAAACTACAAAGAGTATTAAGTCATGGATACATGTTATCCTCTCATTACACTATCCTATTAATTATCTTATTATTTTGGTATCTATTTTTAAGTTTCACAGATGCATATGCCAAGCTCAGAAGGCTCCGTGTTACGATTTTCTTGGTACAGATGCCACATGTTCACTGAGAAAATCTAACGGAAACCCTAGCATGGTGGCCACCTGGCCTGAGACAGCTATGTCCAACTTAAGTCCCTGAAGTGTTTCATTAGAACAACGTGAGCCTATTCTGGAACCACTTACCTCATCTGTCTAATTTAGTTTCATCAAAATATTCTTAAGAAGTGAGATTAGGTTGGGCACAGTGGCTCATGCCTATAACCTGCAGCACTTTGGGAGGCTGAGGCAGGAGGATCGCTTGAGCCCAGGAGTTTGAGACTGGTCTAGGCAACACAGTGAGACCTTGTCTCTATTTTTAAAAATTTTTAAATCTAAAAAATGAAGATTAGTCTGAAACAGTGACTCATGCCTGTAGTCCCAGCACTTTGGGAGGCTGAGGCGGAAGGATCGCTTGAGATCAGGAGTTTGAGACCAGCCTGAGCAGCATCGTGAAAACTTGTCTCTACAAAAGATTTTTTTTTTTAATTTGCCGGACATGGTGGCACAGGCCTGTAGTCCCAGCTACTCGGGAGGCTGAGGTAGAAGGATTGCCTGAGCCTAGGAGCCCCAGGCTGCGATGAGCCGTGATCATGCCACTGCGCTCCAGCCTGGGCAACAGAGTGACACCCCAACTCAAAAAAAAGTGGAGATTAATCATTTATTATATCATTGTTTCAACAGAAGAGACAAAGGACAAGTCGCTTCTTGCATCTGCTTCTAAAAACCTTGACCTGCTTTTCCATCCGTCGACTCCTATTTTTTATTTGTAAACATATGGAGTACAAGTGTAACTTTGTCTCACGCATGGATTGCGTAGTGGTGAGGTCAGGGCTTTGAGTGTACCCATCACCCAGACAACATACACTGCACCCACTCCATCCTGGGTTTTGAGTCTATAGAAAAATATGTCGTACTGGGAGCTTGGGGTTTTTTTTCCTGGGCTGAAAACAAGAGGCCGGGAGAAGATGAAGCTAGAAGATGCGTGATCTGTAGACTGGAAAGATGGTGAATTCACTCATCCAACACGCATTTGCCAAGCATCCATGAAGACTTTGTGTGTGACACGATGCCAGATTGTGAAAGAACAGAAGTATAAATGGTGTGGATGACCGTGAATAAGACTTGTAGGGGAGAGAGCTCACTGTCACTGGAGGTCATCAAAGAAAGTTCCACAAAAAAGAGGGGGTAAAAGCTGAGCCCTGAAGGATTTAAAGACAAGGAGAAAGAAAGGGGGTCGAATACGGGGAGAGTATCTTACGGCAAGATGGAAACGTCATTAGCGAGAGACAGAGGCAGGAAAGGCAGGTGGTGGATTCAGTGGGCAGAAATGTCTGGACAGGCGGGCTTCCAATGAGAATCCAAGTGCACATGAGTCGGCACCCAACTCCAGAGAGCCTCAGATGCCACTCACGGGGCTCCCAGGACGTCACAACTCCCTGAGCCTTAGAAGTCATCTTACATAACCCTTCATTGTACAGATGAGGAAATGGAAGCCCAGAGAACATACTTGAGAACATATACCTCTTGGGCAATGGGCGTGTTGTTCCATTGCAGTGGCGCTCTCGTTGGGAATGCGCCCCCAAGTTTCCATAGAGTCCATGGGGACCCTGGCCTGGTAAGGATGAGGGGGAGACAAGCCCATTTTGAGGATTTGCCAGTAGGATATACATGATGCTGTGTGAACATTTCATTTGGAACTTGGAAAGAGAGTCTTCTGCTTTAAAAGAATCTCCCCCTGGCAAGGGCGGGTCTGTATTTTTGTGGCTGGGCAGAGCCTTTAAAGACTTTCAAAGACTCAGGTAACAAGAGAACGGTGTTGGAAGACGCAGTCGGGCCGTGCTCACAAGTGGTCAAAGCTTGAGATACTTGCCATCCAGGGGCTGGAGGTCAAGTCCCCGTGAGCCCCCCGGAACTGCTGCACCTCGCATGTTCTCTGTTCTAAAGACTCGCCGCCTCCTTAAACGCCCTGGAGCTTCCGGGTGTTTCATAAATAAACATCTAACTGATGTAAGAACGAGCTCTCCAGATACCCGGGCCCTGTTACTTTTCTGGGTTAATGTTTAGACTCTCAGCCCTTGACAGGTTCCTTCGCGTCCTTGACAGGTTTTCGTTAAGCTTGAGAAGTTTCTAGTTTTCCTTCCTGCCTTGCCGGTGCTCCTGTTGACCCCCTGGAGGGGTGGGGAACAGGGGAAGGCGCCATGGGAAGAGGAAAGTGTACGTGCCCGCGCAGGGGGGATTCGAGATGAACCTGAGTTAAGGACCACTCACCCCAGGTGTGCCGAGTCCAGGGTAGGCCTCTCTCCCGGACGCCTTGGAAAGCCCAAAGCCGGCATCGGGGAGCGGCTTCTGTGATGCCCAGGTCCCCGCAAATGCCGGCAGCCCCCTGAGGAGGCAGCTTTGGAGAAATCATCTAGAGTGATGGGTGCTCAACCCAGATCAAACACGCCGAGCACGGGCTCTGTGCCGCTGCTTTCACAGACCGAGAGTCGGAGTGCACAAGTGTGTGCGCCTGTGTCATGTCTGTGGGTGTATGCACGTGTGTATGCCTGTTGTGTGCACGTGTTCACACGTGTGTGCATGTGCCCATGTCCATGTGCATGCATGTGTGTATCCCTGAATGTGTGTGCCTGCCTGTGTACTTGTGTGTGCATATGTATATACCTGCCATGTGCATGTGTTCATGTGTGTGTGCGTGTGCTCATGTCTGTGTATGCATGTGCGTATGTCTGCCTGCGTGCGTGTATGTGCCCGTGTGAGTGCGTGTGCGTGTTGCCGGTTCATTAATTTTCAGACCAGCCCTGGAAGGAGGGCTCGCGGATCCCTTTCCTGGTGACAAAGCCCACCCAAGGGTCCGCCACTTGCCTAAGTCCCATCAATAGCACATGGCAACGCTGGGCTCATAACTCAGCAGAGGGCACAAGGCAAGAGCAAGAACATTCCAGAAGGCTCCCCCAGGGCAGGGCGGGGGCCGGTCTGGTGAGTCGCCTGCATGAATGTAAGAGGCAAAGCGAGGCTGGCTGGAAGGGCCGGCGACTGGTCCCCGGGAGCACGGCACCCGCGACGGGAGGTGTCTGGCCGTGGGGAGGTGACGGCTGCCCTCTGCCCCTCCAGCTCTTTGTGCGGGAGCCTGAGAAGCGGCTGGGCGTCCGGGGAGACATCCGCCAGCACCCTCTGTTCCGGGAGATCAACTGGGAGGAGCTTGAGCGGAAGGAGATCGACCCACCGTTCCGGCCTAAAGTGGTAAGGACTCCCTGGCCGCCTGGTGGCTGCACCCACCTTCCGCTCAGGGCATCCCATGAACGCCGCCCCCCACCTCCAGGAGGAATGTGCTTCTTGAATACAGGCTGTCGGGGGAGGGTGGGACGTGACCCTCATTTGCAAAATGGCACCTCTGGGGCTGAGGTGCGCCAGCATGAAGGATGCCGAGTGCACTCGCCTTAGGGCAATCGTGTATCTGTGTGGGTGACGCTCAGACGAGGGGTACGTTTTGCACGTGGCACATGCACCCTTCACGGTGCCATCTGGGTGACCCAAACTTGTGCCTGGACTCTGACTCCTGCGTCAGGAATCTGAGAGCCATTTGTTCCATGAGACGAAGTAAAGTGTACCAGCCTCTGTATTGTGTTCACATAGCCACATACCCTATGGCAACGACCGATTTATTTAAGAAAAAAATAAATCAACTGGTGCTTAGAAAACCACAAATCACTAAATTCCCACGCATATACTCTCTAGCAAAAGTCACTAGGCCACATCATGGAAGGCAGAGCCACCGGGCTACACGCAGGAAGAGTCTCCGTAAAGAAAATACACCAAGTGAAAACAAAAAAAGTTCTGGAGATGGATGGTGGTGATGGTTGCAAATGTACCTAATGCCACTGAACCCTTAAAGAAGGTTAAAATGTGACTGGTCACAGTGATTCACACCCAAAATCCCAGCACTTTTGGAGGCCAACATGGGGGGATCACTTAGGGCCAGGGCAACACAGTAAGATCCCCTCTCTACAAAAAGAAAAAACAAAATCATCCAGGCATGGTGGTATCACCTGTATTCCCAGCTACTTGGGAGTCTTAGGAAGGAGGATTGTTTGAGCCCAGGAATTCGAGGCTACAGTGAGCTGTGATCGCGCCACTGCACTCCAGTCTGGGCAACAGAGCAAGAACCTGCCTCTTAAAAAAAAAAAAAGTTAAAATGTTAAAATGGCAAATTTTATGTTATGTCTATTATACCGTGATTTGTTTTAAAAAAAAAAATCAACAATAGCTTTTACAAGAGTAAAGCAAAGTAGTGGTTTTACCAGCCTTGCCCATTTCTGGGGCTTGCTGGGCACACGGTGGTCATCACCCTGATAGACATGGCTCTCTGCCCTGTGCCTTTGCACTGAAACAGCCTAGGCTCATGGGTGTGCAGCGGAGTACTCACCTAGAAAACAGCACACTGTTAGTTGTGACAGCAGATGGCCAGAAGAAGCAAGTGCACCTTGTTCCTGGGGCCAGAATGGTTGTCCATGACATTTGTCCCAAGCTCTGGGGACATTCTAAGGGTTTGCCAGGCTACTTCTAGCACTGTAATTATTTGTAACAGAAATTTGTCTAATAAGTGGGTTAGTCATTTACGATAAAATGAGCTTTACCTTGCTTTAGCTATCAGAACAATTTTTTTTTCTTTTTTTGTTTTTTGAATCAGGGTCTCATGCTGTCTTCCAGGATGGAGTGCAGTGGCGCAGCCATGGCCTGCCACAGCCTCAACCTTTGGGCTCAGATAATCCTTCTACTTCAGTCTCCCGAGTACAAGCACAGGACACCCCACCTGGCTCATCTTTTGTATAGACGAGGTCTTGCTATGTTGCCCAGGCTGGTCTCAAACTGCTGAGCTCAAGCGATCCTCCTGCCTTGGCCTCCCAAAGTGCTGGCATTACAGGTGTGAGCCACCATGCCCAGTCTATTGAAACAATTTAATTCATGCTTACCTTCCACTGCAGATTCAAATCGACTTAATATTTTCCACCTAAAAATCAGGACTTTGATCTACTTACCCGAGAGGACGAGTCCCATTTCAGCCAGTAAATGTACTTGATGTCACTGAACTGTGCCCTTCGGAATTGCCCTGGCCGGTGTTCTGAGCGGCCACAGGGCCCCTTTGAGGGTGGGAGGGGCCTGACTGACTCTTAGTTCTGCTCTCACGTGCTCATAGGACTTTCTTTCAACAATCGCCATCACCGAATGTCTCCGCCATCCTGGGCCATCAGTGCAGTAATAGCGTGATGGCATTCATATGCGGAAACACCACTGCATACATTCAGACAGGATGATCTTGTGTTTCTAATGAGTAGTCTGCACGAAGCAGGACTGGCAGGCTTTGAAAAAGTGGCGAGCCTGCATTTGACCTCTGCCCTTTGAGTCTACGTGGAATAAAAGGTGGGGGGCAAGAGGGCGGTGGGAGAGAAGGGATTTTGCAATTCCATCTTCCCGTCCTCTTAGCGTTCTTCACTTCTGTTGGTTTCCCTACCCATGTTAGTTTTATTGTTGAACATTTTGGACTGTCTTGCATTTACAGCACAGAAGGAGATGCATTTTCAGACCGCTTGGTCCATTGGTTCTCCTGACCCAAGAAAGACACACACACACACACACACACACACACACACACACACACACATACACACACACAGAGTGAGAGAGAGAGAGAGAGAGAGAAGAGAGAGAGACAGAGATAAAGAGATACAGAGAGAAAGAGAGAGACAGAGATAGACACAGAGAGAGACGCAGAGACAAAAAGAGAGGGAGGGAGAGAGAGAGAGGAGAGGAGAGACAGAGACAGAGATAGAGAGATACAGAGAGAGAACGTGAGACAGAGATAGAGAGACACATACAGAGAGAAAGAAAGAGACAGAAGAGACAAAAAGAGGGAGGGAGAGAGAGAGGAAAGGGAGAGACAGAGACAGACAGAGAGGAGAGAGAGAAAGACAGACAGAGAGAGAGAGAAAGAGAGGAGAGAGAGGAGAAAGAGAGACAGAGATAGAGACAGAGACACAGAGAGAGAGAAAGAGAGAGAGAGAGAGAGAGAGAAAGCAAACACCCATTTCACAAACACTGTTCAGGATGGCGTACCGTTCAGCTTTCTAAGACTGAGAACAGCCATGGTTGGAAGAAAGTCCTATGAGCACATGGGAGCAGAACTAAGAGTCAGTCAGGCCCCTCCCACCCTCAAAGGGGCCCTGTGGCCGCTCAGAACACCGGCCAGGGCAATTCTGAAGGGCACAGTTCAGTGACATCAAGTACATTTACTGGCTGAACTGGGACTCGTCCTCTTGGGTAAGTAGATCAAAGTCCTGATTTTTATGTGGAAAATATTAGGTCGATTTGAATCTGCAGTGGAAGGTAGGCATGAATTAAATTGTTCTGATAGGCTGGGCACGGTGGCTCACACCTGTGATGCCAGCACTTTGGGAGGCCAAGGCAGGAGGATCGCTGGAGCCCGGGAGTTTGAGACCAGCCTGGGCAACAGCCTATCATTGCCCTGATGGCCCAGGATGGCAGAGACATTCGGTGACGGTCTGCAGGCGTCACGCAGTTTACTTTGTCTGCAGACACCAGCTTTATCAGACACAGATTATAGCCTAGACAACAACAGATGCGATCATGAACTTAGTGGCTGATGTTCTTCTCTTTTCCCCCCCTTAAACGCCAACCAAGAAATCACCCCACGACTGCAGCAATTTCGACAAAGAATTCTTGAACGAGAAGCCCCGGCTGTCATTTGCCGACAGAGCTCTGATCAACAGCATGGACCAAAACATGTTCAGAAACTTCTCCTTCATGAACCCGGGGATGGAGAGGTTCCTCTCCTAGCCCCGCCCCTCCAGAGGCACGCGGCGGTTGGCCTTCCCTCTGGGCACTGGCACAAGTGACACTTCCTGGGTTCCTTTTGCAACTTGGAAAAGGAAGAGAAACACTCAATGATAAAGGCTGAGACTGTTTGCTCCTCACATGACTGTATCTGTAGCAGAAAGCAACTTTCACTAACGGCGACGCCCTGTGTTTTAGCCCCTGGCATGTTTCACGGACGCCCTTGAATGAAGTTAGGTCCTTACTAATCCTAGTCATTTACTTGAACGATAGTCCACTGCGCTGGGGGAAGTTTGAAACCTTCCTCCTGCTCTCAGACAGCTCTTCACCTGGGCACCCGGCTGCTGATGGACGCACCCAGATGGACCCTGAGCACCCACATCTCAAGATGGAAGCAGCCTGTTGCCCGGTGTAAGTCATGGATCTATTCAGCCAAAAACGAGTGACCACTAACCCACGGCATCCTGTTCACGCCTGTGAAAGTGTACATGGCCGGGGGACAGCTCTGAATCGGGTTTTATGGGAATTCTTCACAATAAATAGAGCTTGTAACTTGAGATGTACAAATCCTTTCATTCTGATTAGCTGCAACATTCACAGAAAAGAGGAAGATGGGAAGGTTTGCTGGAATGCCTTCGCGGGTTATCTCATCAAGTTAGAGACCGCATTTAGAGTTCCACAGAGGGAGGGTGATTTCACTGTTGCCCATAAAGCCTTTGCGTCCACGCGTTCTCGGTTGATGTCAGCATCAGGACAGCCATCTATGACAATACACCCTCACATGGTGACAAGACAAAAGGCGCATCATTCTTCTGAAAGCAAGCCAACCCCTCCTCGTACCGTGACTGAGGGTTCCCTGATGCCTACACCTCTCCGTGGCGTCATTCAAGATAAAGTACCCATGCATGCTACCTACAGCAGCCGAAGGTGTCCAGATAGAATTCTAACTCTGTGTTTTGAAAGGATCTGTGCTGTTTGTATATTTTGACAAAATGTTGTGACCTAATTATAAAGAGATGGATGTATTACAATGGAATTAAAAAGAAAAACAAAGAAAGACGCCTCTAAATAGTTGCCTATCTCCACCCAAGAATTTGATTCTGTCATATTGGTCAACAAAATGTAGCCGGGTGATATTTTAAAATTTGGGAGTCAGGGCTGGGCTTGGTGGCTCTTGCCTGTAATTCCAGTACTTTGGGAGGCTGAGGCAGGAGGATCATTCGAACCCAGGAGTTCGACAACAACCTGGGCAAGATAGCAAGACTTCATCTCTACAAAAAAAAAAAAAAAAAGCCTAGTGTGGTGGTGTGTGCCTGTAGTCCCAGCTACTTGGGAGGCTGAGACAGAAAAATTGTCTAGGGATTGAGGTTATAGTGAGCTGTGATCATGCCACTGCACTCCAGCCTGGGCAACAAAGTAAGACCCTCAAATTTTTTTTAAAAAGGGCAACTCTTTCAGATCTCCTTCCACTGTGGAAGCTTTTCTGTTCTCTTAATAAATCCTGCTTTCAAAAAATAAAGTAAAATAAAATAAAATTTAGGAATCATAAAAATTTCCCAAATGGGTGATAGCAACCTGTTTCCCTGATTACTATCATTCTGTTTCTCCTCCTCACAAGTAGTTGTGCCCCAAATGTCCAAATGTGACCTCTTTTCTTTTATTCAAATTTCCAACTAAAAGGCTTGAGGTGTCACTGCCTGATAAGAGCACATCAGACAGGATTTTGTCACCCGATGACTCTGTATCCTAAAATTTGTTTTCCAGCCTGACTCTGGCGTAGTGTCACATACCAAATCAAGAAGGAAATCAAAGTGTGTTATGGCCCTGCAAAGCCATCTCCCAGGGACTCCCCGGACTCTGGGAGCCTTGTGGGATGCTTATCTGTCCTCCCTGAGGTCTGCCACATGCAGGGCTTCACCTACATATCAACAACCCTACAGTTTTCCACCCCCTTCTCTCAACAAAGCCTCTCCTCTACAGATTTCCAAAATTCCTTAGGATAGTAGCTACAAATGACTGGTCAAGAAACCTTTGACCTGAAAACCACTTGAGAATGTCCTCCTTCCTGGGCCCAACCAATGAAAATCTCACATGTCCTGATGTGAGATGGTTTCCCGTAACGGCAGCTTTCCTGAAATGTATAGAACCAAGCCACCCCTCAACCACAGTGGGCACAGACGCTCAGGACCTGAGGATGGGTGTTCCTGGTCCAGGGTCCCCAAGTTTGGTACAGAATAAACCACCTGAAAGTATTTTACAGACTGGCGTCTGTAGGTCCACAGCGTCTCGAAGAGGTGGTCTGCGTGTGACGATTCTATCTCCCCACCCTGCACTCGAGGCTGTGCCCTCAACCTCCACTGACACTGTGTCCTCCAAGGCTGCTTCCTGCCAGTCCTGGGGGAGCGTACTCAGGGCTCATCCACCTTCCTGCAGCTCTCTCTCCAAGGAAGGAGATGCTCTTGGCATCACCCTTGGGGCTCCCGCTGTGGCATCTTCCTGCTTCATCCTCTTCCCTGTGGAGTGTTCCTTGGCTGGCCTCGCATCAGGGACCCTTGCTTCATGCTCCCGTGGGACCCTCCGCACAGCCCTCCCACGGCACTCCTAGACTGTAAACTCCTTGAGGACAGGGACAGCATCTTTTCTGTATCCTCAGCGACTGTCACCATGCTTAGCACATCATGGATGCTCAGTAAACACATGGTAAATGTGTACATGAAATACTAAGTCGAAGTGCCATTATTAAGATACCATTCCCCTTTTCTCCAAAAAGGCCAGCTGCCAATAATCAGGGATGACACGGGGACAGGAAGTACAATATGGCTAGATGCTACTGACATGACCTCCAAATTCCTTCTTAGCCATTTGCTTCCTTTTTTTTTTTTGCCCCTCAAGCATTTTTTTCCAGAGCTCAAGGCAAGTATCCTCCAGTCTGAGACCCCTGATCTTCTTCATAGACTCTGACAGCAATGAACCCTAGAAGGAAAAACAAACAGCAAATTCAGACATCAGGAAGAATCTTTCTTTTCTGGCTTGAGAAAGTCCCACTGACTTTTTTAAAGAAATCAACATAGTGAAATCCTAACCAAGTCAGAATCTCTGCTCTGAAATGTGTAAGATACTGGAAACGTCAGTAGACGCCTCACGTCCCAAGACGTGTGCACTCATGGGATTCATTGACCTTCATGGAGGCCGTGCAGATGTCTTTGCTATTGTTCGTTATTTATCTCCAGTGGGAAACAAATATTCTTAACAGGAATAAACAATGAAGTGGCCCAAGAGTAAACAATAGTGAGATCGCTGGAAAGAAACAAAGGACAATTAGCTGGTTAAGTTCATAGAACATCAGAACTAGAAAATACATCCGATTTAAATGTTTTCTTTTAGCGCAAGGGTAACCACAAGGAAATGTTAAAAATAGACTACTTCACTTCCAAAAATTTAGAAGGCAAAAAAATAACAAAGAAAAATTAGGAAAACAATTTTTAAAAAGGCGTTGTGAATAGAAACATAAGGGAGGATTAAACTCAAGCATCATACTCATCACAATAGATTCCAATGAGTTGAATCTTTTTAATATCAGAGAAAGAGTCGCAGGTTGATTTGTTGCTGCTGTTGTTGTTTAAATCTGGCTTAAAATAGCATTTTGAGAGAGGCGGGACCAAAACAAGATGACAAGAAATTCTGACAATAAATGAATAAGAAGTTGTACACCAGGCAAATGTGAACAAAAGAAAAGAGGGAGGAAGAAGATAGGAAAAAAGGAAGAAGAATTAGAGTGTAAGAAAACCAGAGTCTGGCAGTAGTCAAAGTGGAAGAAACAGATTCTACTCAGGAATGATTGCAAGAGGGGAAAAGGGACCTCAGTGGAGAGATGGACTCAATCCAAATACAACATGGACTGATGGGACTTGTAGCCAAAGAGGAAGCTGGGAGTCAGTGGACAGAAAAGTACTAAGAGGAGATGTCAAAGTGTAGGGGGGAGCCTCACGAGATCCTTGCTCAAGGCAGGCCAGGGTGATCGCATCACCTAGTATGGAGAGGAATTTGATTAGAAATCGAGAGTGATCAGACATCCGGGGTGGTGGGTTCTGGCTAAACCGACCTAACAGATTTTTGCTAAGTTGGAGCCATGCAAAAATCAGAAGTCCAAATGTCGAGGCCTTGTTGGAAGGATGATTTAGAGGAGCTTGGTGAGACGATGGTCAAGGAGAGCCTCTTTGTCAAGAGGGAGGGAAGAAAAGAACACCCCAGGTATAGCAATGTTAATGTCAGACAAAACAGAATAGAAACAAAGACATTCCAAATTTAAAAACCACCTAAGATCCAAGCAAACACAGGGATCTAAAAAGAGTATAAAAAACAACACTGAAAGAAATACAAGAAGACATTGGCATCATGGAAGACATCGAGATGCCTCTCTCAAAAATGAAAGGAAGTAGATCAAAATGAGTATGAATATATGGCGATTTGAGTGGCAATTAACAAGCTTGAGTCAATGAACCAATAGAGAACTTTAAAACCAGTAAACCTTGAATATACACTCTTTCCAAGGAAAAATGTATCCGACCTTACAGGGCTTAATGAAGATTAAATGAGTTAACAGGTGGAAAACACTTAGTGTGTAGCGCATAGTAAGCATTCAATAGGCATGCACCATCACTAGTATCAAAACAGGTCAACAAAAGCATCAACACGTTCCACAAACCATAAGTTATAAGGCTGTGTTACTGACAACAATTTGGAAGTAGCAGCGGGCGAAGAGCAATAAAATTCTATGTGGAAAGTTTAAAGTAGACTTGCAAATATCATTAGCTAAAAGAGAACAGTAAAATGGAATTTACAAACTATTTAGAAATGGATGACAATAAGATAGTACCTATTAATATCTGTGGGATGCTATCATAAAAGTACTTGAAGAAAAATGCATCACCTAAGTTTTTATAGTCTGCAAACAGGAAGGATTCAAAATAAAGGAATGTGTGGATATATGAAACATACCAGCAAAAAAGGCTTTTATCGGCTAGAGATATAAACTAAAGCCTTTATGGCCGGGCTCGGTGGCTCAGCCTGTCATCCCAGCACTTTGAGAGGCCA